CTTACAGTGCAAATATTACTCGTTCTAAATATAGAGGTTTAAATTTGAAAGAATTCCCAGGAACAGGTGGTAACCAGTGTTGGATTTAAATTCAGTGCTTTATTTTTAAAATATCCATCTAATCCAACCACAGGAAGTTGTCATTTGCAGATTTTCACCACTCTGCAGTCATAAGATACTTTCAACAAATTATATGTCCTGTGATTAAATGGAAAAATAACTATTATGATCAGTTTTTATGAATTACCAAGATGATACAGATTCATTCACTCAGGGTTATATCCATTTGGAAACAGCTGCCACCACGGCACCAAGAATTATTTCCAAAGGATTGACATTGAGAAAATGATGAACAATTTAAAAAACTAATTTCATTTGCTGTGATCTAAGTTATTAATATATAAATTAATTATGCTACCCCAATTAATCTCCCAAGACTTTTTATGGTAGACGATAATTACCATCTCCCTTTTTTACAAGTGAAGAAACTGAGCCATAATTTATTCAAAACTATATTGTTTTAGAAAGTGAATGGAGGGCAGGGATTAGATCAGTGGTTCCGCCACCTGCCTCGAAAGCACAGGGTCCTGAGTTCAATCCCCAGTACCAAAAAAAGAGTGAATGGATATCCACACAATGGCTACATAGCTCTAAACTACTTTAACCAATCAATTACCAACATAAACAGGAGTCTAACTTAGACTGTTCAAAGAAACAGTGCTTCTCATTGCTGATGAAATCTCAAGTAGTACTTTTGGCCTGGATATTGTGTAATATTATTGAGTCAGTTACTTTCAGAATCACAGTATAACTTAAGTCCACTTCACAGTAAAACAGTGTCACAGATATGTCTTTCAGGAAAAACATTGAAGGATCACAATCAAAACATCCCCATGACTCAGCATCTGAACTACTTGTTAATTAACAGAACTCACTACCTCTTAACAAAAATTTATCCTCCACCTTTCTCTTTTCTGAGGCACAAGGTAGGTACCAACCATACAGTCCCTCATCCTAGATGCTTTCCTCTCCTATAATCCTAAATCTAATCAACAGATCAAGCCAATTTAATCTACTAAATATTTGTCAAATTTTCCTTCTATCTTCAGTCCTACCACAATTGCCCAAGTGATTCAGCCCCAGCATCTCTCACCTGAGCCACATCAGTAGTCCCTGCCACTGTTCCCTTCTTTAAAATCCTTCAACGGCATCTTACCACCTGCTTTCAGAGCAAAGTCCAAGCGCTCCTTGGCATGCTCCACAAAACCTTCTATAATCTAGTCTCTTCCTTTCTCTCCAGTGCAGTCAACACCTGCTTTATTTCTGTGCATTAATTCATTGATTCATGTTGTAATTTTAAGTGGCCTCCTGATCAAATCTCACTACCCTTTTTTTAGACATGGTCTCACTATGTACTTCAGGCTGGTCTTGAACTCATGACAATCCTCCTGCCTCAGCCTCCTAAATACTAGAATTACAGGCATGTGCCACCACACCTAGCTTGTCACTCTTACTGATTGAAATACATAAGGTTTTTTCTGAATTCGCCAGATGTGATTAGATGTCCCTTCTATGTTCATATCATACTTTTGTATATCTCCATCATTAGTTACATTCTGTAATAATTATCTCTGAATATGTCTATGTCATGCACTAGAATGTGATCTCATGGTGGTCAAGAAATGTATCAAACTCAGGACCTCGCACTTTCGAGGCAGGCAGTGGAACCACTAAGCTAAATCCCTGGACTCATTCTTTTTTATCCCCAGTATCTAAAACAATGTTTGAAAATAATAAACATTCAATAATTGTTTCATGAACAAATATCCCTAATACTACATTTAAAACTCTCAAAAGTATTTACTACCATCTGTAATCGTGGGTGTTGGAAACTTTTGTTTTAGGGTAATGTGATTACTTAGGGAAAATTCTGGCACACTTGGTGGTACCTGACTCATTGCTCCTGGCAACAAAATGAAGAAAGGTTCTATTACTCTAGTGAATGCTATAGCCACAGTTCCAAAAAGAACCTTTATCCAGTCATTCAAGAAATAGTTTTTGAGAGCCTTTTATAAGCAAGGCCCTGTTCTGGACTTTGGGGAAACAGTAGTTAACCAAATAGACAAGGTCACTGCTTTCATGGCACTGTTATCCTTGTGGGAGAAGATAATTAACAAGCAAATAAACAGGGTAATTTCAGGTGGCAATAAGTGCAATAAAAAAAAAAAAGGTTGAAGGGCGTACTTTACATTGGATGATCAGGGAAGGCCTCATTCCAAAGGGAACACTGAGGTGAAACCTAAAACAGTATGCAGCTTGGGAGGAAAAGCATTCCAGGGGGAATGTGTCAGCCCTAAGGTGGAAATAAGCACAGCACGATCAAGTGATCAATAGAAAGCCAGTTTAGCTAAACAGTAGGTAAAAGGAAGAAGGAGGACAGAAAGCTAGAGGCCAGATTGGGTAGAATCAATTGGTCTACATAAAGGTGTCTGTCTTTAAAGATCAGCCAGTTCTGATGAGTGTATTGCATAAATACACTGGATACATTTGATACATGGAAAACTGGAGATATGTAGGAAGCACAGAACAGACAAAAAGTGATGACTTGGAAAAGATATTTGCTTGCATTAGGACTAACTGGAATAATGAAAATTGAGCACTAAATTCAGTATGTGATAGATAAACAACATGATACCTATTGTTATTCATTTATATTTATAGAAAAGTCTTGTTGAACAGTATATGAACATCAAAACCCTTCGGTTCCATCCCGGTACCAAAAAACAAAAAAACAAAACAAAAAAAACCTTGGACAGTGATTCAGGAAGCATAAAATGACCACAATACTCAAAATATATGAAGTAAACTGTATTAACTATTATTATTGTTATGATTAAAAGATGAGGTCTCTCACTATGTTTCAGGTTGGCCTCAAATGATCCATCTGCCTCAGCCACCTGGGTAGCTGGGGAGAGGCATGCCACTGCATCTAGTTCTCTATCACTCATTTAAAAAACTTATTGAGGGGCCGGGGATTTAGCTCACTGGCACCACGCCTGCCTTGCAAGCACAAGGTCCTGAGTTCGAGTCCCTGGTACCAAAAAACCAAAACAAAACATATTGAGGATCTATTCTGGAAAAATTATGAATAAATTTGCTGAGCCTGCATGAAGAAAATGGACTAACAGATTAATCATAGAACATTAGATGTGGAAGAGATCTGAGATAAGCTCTATCCATCACTTAACAAAACAGCCCAGAAAAAGAAACTACTGTTCCTCCTAAACTGAAGATGGGAGGATCATAGTATCATTTACCCAAGGACATACTATAAGCAGCTAAAGACTTTTAATTAATAACATAAAATCAAACATTTTAAAATGAAGTGATATCTAGGCAGCACATTTATGTGCTACACTAAGAAAAGTGTAATATTTACATAAAGCCCTCCACATAGTCATTTGCCCAGGGTAAATGCCCAATAAATAGTAGCTACTACTTTCAGCTGCTAAGAGAAATCTGAGAGTGTGATCTCTATTTGATATCAATTACTAAAAATTGATAGTCACAAGGATTCTAATATAACTCAACCTTTTGATTTTTCCAGATGAAAAAAGTGAAGTCTAAAGGTGTAAATAAAAGTCAGATGTGGTGGCACACTCCTGTAATCCCAGCTACTTGAGGCTGAGGCAGGAGGATCACAAGTTGAACACCAGCCAGCCTAGACAATAAAGCAAGACTCTATCTCAATAAATATAAATAAATAAGTAAATAACTTACAAAACCATCCACAGCTGAATGAATTAGAGACCAAACCCTGAATCCCCAGTCCAGTTTTAACTACATGTTACAGATCTGCAGTTTAGCTATAAGGTACTGTTTCAAACTTTTATAAGAGTAATAAGAATTGTAACCTGCTACACATGACTTTTTCAATCCTTTCATTAAAGGTACCATTGAGCTTAGAATTTAATATAAAAAAGAACCATCAGCAATGAGACTGAATACATAAGCCATGAGTAAACAACAAAAAACACCTCAGTAATACGATTCTATCATGGACACCTGATGGATAAGAGGCTATGTGAGCTGTTATACGCACTGAAGTAGAGACCACAATGTCTCTCTGTAGTATATAAAGGAAAAAATGTTTGAAAACATTTTTCAAAGCACATTTAAAATGTGACAGTAGCTATGGCTCACCAAGAAACTAAAAGGAGATAAACTTTCTGGCATACAGGAACAGAATGATTTGTTTTAAGCAAAGACTAATAGGAGTTTACTAAAGAGTACTGAAAGACCAAGACTAAAAGCCACAATGCAGAACTGTAGCAACCAATTCAAAAAGCTTCACGTTTCACAAAGAAAAAGTTAACTTTGAACTTCCAGGCCCTTCTGCCTATGAGATTAGGGTGCATTCCTCTTCACCTCAAAAAAAAAAAAAAATGTCTGAATGGCAGAGATAAACAGAACAGGGCATAGAGGAGAATCCAGTCTACTTGTGGCAAATTTAAATTCAACTGAACACATGTACCAACTCTTCACGATGAATGTAATCATTATGTACTGCAAACATGTCCTAATAAAAAGATTTTGAAACAAAAATATAAATTCAACTGAACAAATCTCTGTAAATTTGTAGGACTTTTAAAGTTTGTTTTCAAAAACCATATGGAAGAAGGGAAAAGAATGGAGTTCACGTAGTACACAACTTAAAACCAAAACCGAAGAGCTCTGAGAGGATGCAGTAGGTATGAGTTCAAAAGCAAGAAAGACTTCATGAGGTGGCGTTCAAGACAAGTGAATAAGAACCACAGATGTGGGGATAAGAAGTGGGAGAGTTGGTGAACAGTCTGAAGAACCGGGAAAAACCAACTTCCCTCACAAACGCCCGTTTCTCCACGCGTTAGGCAAGTGTCAGGCGCACCCTCTCCCGAGGGGCAGGCGCCACCGCTACCGACCGGCTATGTTCAACCCTGGTTCCCCCTGCCCATTCTCACCTCGAGGGCTTCAGAACTCCTCAAGGAGTCCCATCAGAGGACAGAAAAAAAAATGATGCCTTCTGAAGAGAGCCCTAAGGCCTACGACCCGAGCACTCAGTTACCCGCGAGTTTCAGACTACAGCCAGGGCGCATCCCCATGACAACGCCGCCAAACGCCAGTTCGAACGCCCGCGCTGAAGCCCGCGCGCCGGCAGTCCTGTACACGGACCAATGGGCATCCAGGGATCCCGTGACGTAACCGCCTTCTCCAACAGAAAACCAATCAGAAATCGGAGAAAACCGTGGGCATTAACTCTTCAACCAATTCTTCTGCTTGAGCGAAGGTCTCGCGATGTTCTCAGCGAGCCAAAGGCACTCTAGAGGCGAGAGAAAGCTCCTGTTGCCCAATTCTGTTGGTCCCCCGAAGAGCAGTTGAGCTCTCCTGATTGGTTGGTGTACTGCCGGTCTCCGTTCAAGGCCCACCTCCTGTCTCCGTCGGCTTACGGTGAGTAACCTTTGCGAGAACCTGGATTTAATTTTCTGTGGAGAAGCTGGGGTTTGGAGCATTGGGAGTCTGCCACTGACTAACCTCCCTTCGCTGCAGAGTCAAAGGTTGACGCACCGTTTTCCAGGAGGGCTTAAGGCGTGAATTGGCCAGGCCTCAGTCGCACGCAAGCCCTCGTTCCTGTCTGCACTGGCGGAATGGGCTGGGCTGTGGTGGGGTTGTGGGCTTCAGTGGTCCCAGGAACTTTGCGTGCTACCTTCCAAGTGACGAGGCGAGTCGTTAGAATCTCAGTGACAGACAAGGTCCAAGTTTACGGCCTAGCAGTTTGGAAGCTATACCTCTCTTCCCTGGGTCTGTTTTCTTTGTTGTCTGTTAAACCTCACCTGCTTTCCGAAAGAGATTTTATATTTTCTAATTGCTTCACTCGTTGAATTAATAACGACTGTAGCAGAATATCACGCGAGAGTCTCCGCCACCTTAAGGAAAGGAAAGGCTGCAACAGCTTAAACTGAATGCAACCAAAGTGTCAAATGTTAAATCGCTCATGTAGAGTGGAAGTTAAGAGCTGTGATGGGAGGCAGGCAGGCCTGTGTTTGAATGACTATCCAGGCTCATCTCTGAGCCAGTTTCCTTTTTCCTCTTGTGAAAAATGACAGTAATTCCCCAGCGGGTTGCAGTGAAGATTAAATGAAATAGTGAAGGTAAAGCATTCGGCACAGTGCCTGGCAAGTAGTGACTTCTCAAAATATGGTAACTATTATCCTCATAATATGAACAAACATACTAGCCAGCTTGTATATAGCCTACAGCTTAGTTACTATCATCAACTATATACTCAATTTAGCTCAAAACTTGTCAGTTAAGGAAAAAAAGGCAATTCTTACTAATACGGAAACAAATCTATTCTGCAAAAGAGAAATATTTACCTAATATCTATATTAAAAGTAATTTAGGGCCTGGGATTTAGCTCAGTGGTTCAGGCGCCTACCTCACAAGTGCAAGGTCCTGAGTTCGATCCCTGGTACCAAAAAAAAAACAAAACGGAATTTAGTTGATCTTGTACATCAGGAATATACATAGTGTAGTAAACAGAGTTCCTCATCTGTTTAACAGAAAATATGTTTGATAACAAAATTTTATTGATTCAGCAGTCAATAAAAGTTAAAGGTGTACCATTAAAACAGATTACAGTTGACTTTTTTTGTACTGGGGATTGATCTCGGGACCTTGCGATTGTGAAGCAGGAAGCAGAACCACTGAGCTAAATCCCAGGCCCTCAGTTGACCTTTTATAACCCAAGAATAAGAGCAACCCACATATTTTCAGTACCTCTGATGTGTTAAACCCTAAAATAAATTCATTTTAAACTCCACAACCATGAAAAATGGGTGTCATCTTCATTTTATGAATGATGGAGTGTCTTGCTCTAAGTTACAACTAGCAAATTTGATGGATTGGTCTTTCTTACTGCAAAGTCAGCCATACTTTTCTGCATTGTGTGACACTTTCTGACTGAAAGAGGGTGAAATGTTTGGAGTGACAGGTTGAAAAGGGAAATTGGGAGGGAAGTAGGTTGCAGAAGTACATACCTTGCGGGCGTCGGGTGCCTGGGAGCCCCAGTCATTGGGCTTCAGCCCCTGGCTCCTGGCCGTATGCGAGGCAAGATGTTAAGGCACACCCTGGAAAGCCAGGATGCTCAAACCAGACAACTGCAAGATGCTGTCACAAATGTAGAGAAGCATTTTTGGGAGCTGGGCCAAATCTTTGCTGCTTATGTGCAGAAAACTGCCAGACTGCAAGACAAAGCAGACCTCGTGAATGAAATTAACATGTATGCCTCTAGAGACCCCAAATTTAAAGCAAGGCCTGAAAAACTTTGCTGATGAGTTTGCCAAATTTCAGGATTATCGACAAGCAGAGGTTGAAAGACTTGAAGCCAAAGTGGTTGAACCTTTGAAAGCTTATGGAGCAATTGTAAAATTGAAACGGGATGATCTCAAAACAGCGTTAACAGCAAGGAATGGAGAAGCTAAGCAGTTAACTCAGTTAGAAAGAACCCGGCAATGAAACTCATCTGATCAACATGCAATTTCACAGGCAGAAGCCTAATTACACATAGCTTCAACAGATGTTGTCCAAACAACTCGTCATCTGGAGGAAACTATTGACAATTTCGAAAAGCAGAAAATAAAGGATATCAAGAATGTATTTTCAGAATTTATCACAATCGAAATGTTATTTCATGGCAAAGCTTTAGAGGTCTACACTGCTGCCTACCAAAATATACAAAAGATTGATGAGGATGAAGATTTAGAGGTTTTCCAAAATTCTCTGTATCCACTAGATTATCCATCTCGTTTAGATATTGTAAAAGCAAATTCAAAGTCACCTCTTCAGAGATCACTGTCGGCTAAGGGTGTATCTGGAACAGGACAGGTATCTTACCTGTCGATTAAGAAAGGATCAACATGCAGAAGATGATGAAGATGAAGAGGTAGACTTTACAGAAGAAAATTAATTTTAAGTTAATTTCCACATGTCCATTTTCATTTTAAATGACTTGAAAACTTTATACTCAATAAGGAAAAACTCAAAATCCTACCATAAATGCAAAAATAAAGGAAATTTATGCTGATCAAAAATTAAGGTTTAAAAAAAAATTACATTTCAACAAAAAGAAGTACATACCTTGGGTACACATTCCTTTTCTAATAGAAAATTTCCACCTTGGGATTTGAAGAGATGGGATGAAATGGTCGCAGAACATTAGACCTAGTTTCCATTTATCTTGAGATCGATTTATAGCACTTCAAGTTTAACTTGTCCGTAACAGAAACTATTAGCTTGCCTTCTGCCCCTTTCTCTACACAGTCACCTCATCAAACACCTCTCTCTCCCTTTCCCTTGGATTTAGGAAATCTCTCTCCTTTAGACAATAAAACACCAATATTGTCAATTGTTACTTGAAATATCTCTCAGATTTAGTCTATCCTTTCCTTTCTCACAGCCTCTGCCTTAATCTAATTCATGTAATTTTGGTCTTTTGAAATAGGTTTGGAACTGGTTGGTTCCTTTGCCTCCAGACTTTTAATTTCTTCTCCACCTTGCTTGCTGCCACTTGTCTGTGTAAAATGTCAGCCTAAGCCAGGTGTGGTGCCATATAACTGAAATTCAGCACTCCAGGAAGCTGAGGCAGGAGGATCTCAAGTTCAAGCACACTCTGAGCAATATAGAGACTCAGTGAGATCCTGTCTCAAAATTTATTTTTTTGTGTGTTTGTTTGTTTTTGGTACCGGGGACCGAACTTGCACTTTTGAGGCAGGTGGCGGAACCACTGAGCTAAATTCCCGGCCCCCTGTCTCAAAAAGGGGCTGGGGATGTAGCTTGGTGTAAATGCCCTGTCTTCAAACCCCAGAAACATTTAAACAACAACAAAACTAGATGTGATGAATGCCTGTAATCCCAGAACTCTGGGAGTCTGAGGCAGGAAGATTGCAAGTTCCAGCCAAGCCTGGGCAGTTTAGCAACCTAGTGAAACCTTGTATCAAAAAGAAAACAGCAGCCAGGTGTGGTGCCACACACCTGTGATCCCAGCACTCAGGAGGCTGAGGCAGGAGGATTGCTGTGAGTTTGAGGCCAGCCTGGGCTACATAGTTCAAGGCAGCCTGAACTACATAATGAGACTCTGTCTCAAAAAAGAAAAGAAAAGAGAAAGGGACCGGGGGTATAGCTCAATGCAAAGTCCCTGAGTTTGATCCCCAGTACTGCCTCCCCCCCACCAAAAAAAATCAATTTGACCAAATTACAGCCCTGCCTAAATCTGATCAAAGGCCTCATTGCCTACAGAATATAAACTAAACTTTACCAGTGGAATGTCATTTTGTGTTAGAGGGTCTTTTCACATACACATCCCTTTATTTGGAATGCCCCTTGTTTCCATTTTTATTATGCCTGGAAAACTCCTAGTCATCCTTTAAGGTCCTTCTGAGTAACCCCTTTGACATAAGATGTCTCTTCAGTATTATTTCATCTTACATGTCTCCTTATGATGCACAAAGTACATGGTAACTTGCCTGAATGTCTTCCACTTTCACTAAACTAAACCTCTGAAAAGTCAGGGTTTTGTAGAATTTTGCATCTATATCTACCCTTCAATCCTGTCACACTGCCTGTTGGGCACTGTAGTATTAATTTCATATCTACTCTTCAATCCTCTCACACTATCTGTTGCTTAAGAGGAACTCGAAAGACATTAAATGAGTAAAGGAATACTGTACCTTGAGGTTCTAATTTTAGAATTCCCCAAGTTTGCTTCCCAGAATTGAACAGCAGATGGCACTATTAGGCCACTAAACAAATCTTCCCTGAGAATTTTTGTCCAACCTTGTCTGACTTTGGCCTCATCCCAGAATCCAGTATGCCATTACAGGTGAAATTCCTGTTTCCTTCCTCAGCCAAGTAGCAAAGATTGCAAAATGACTCAGCGGCTTGATTTCTGTGAGAAAGGATTGGCAGATATCCAAGGATAGGTGCAGTTGAGCTCTTTTGTCTCAATTTATTCATGTAATAGGGGTCTTTTTTTCTTTTTTCATTTCTTTTTTCTTCTCTTGTTGTTATTATAAGATAGAACTTTATTTATGGATGGGTGCCTCATTGCTGCCCATTCCAAAAGGGGAGAAGGAAACTGGCTAAAACTAGAGAGATGATGGTGATGTGGGAAGTGAGAGAGAGTGGAGAGATCACT